ATGTGTGTGTGTGTGTGTGTGTGTGTGTGTGTGTGTGCTGACGAGAGCGCGTTCGTGCTTGTTTTATCATGCAGCAACAATTTCTCTTTGTGGAGAAATTAAATAAATTAATCGTTATCTAATCTTTTCTGATCTGACTGGATCTGATCTTGTCTTGTCTGGTCTGGTGTGGTCTGGTCTGGTCTGGTCTGGTCTGGTCTTGTTTGGTCTGGTCTGGTCTGGTCTTGTCTTGTCTTGTCTTGTCTTGTCTTGTCTAATCTTGTCTTATATTGCCTTATTTTGTCTTCTCTTCTCTTCTCTTATCTTATCTTAACCCTTTGACGGCGGGATACTAGATGTCATCAAGACCAAAGGTAAACTTTGGGTAATACCAGAGAAAAATGAGGACGGAATGTATACCACTATTTTAAATCTTGTAATTATTACACCTGTTTATGATCTATCTACTCCTGGGACGTAGTGGTTCGACACTTTGCTGTTGCAAGCAAGAGGCCTGAGTTCAATACTCGTACAGAGGAGAATATAGATATAGAGTATCTCTGTTCTTCAGCTGGGACTCTGTATTCCTCTCAGGAAATGTTGTAGCTGGCTCAGGCAGGGTCGAAACATCCCACCTCCCAAATAATCTATAATATTGTTGAGGGTGCGGTGGCAGAGCGGTTAGAGCGCTTGTCTCCGAAGCGGAAAGTCAGGGTTCGGGCCTCTGTTCAAACAAGGGTTTGTTTCGCCCCCTCCTACCCACCCAGCAGTAATGGGTACCTGAATTCTTGTTGGGGAAGTAAAGGCAGCATGGGAAGGAACTGGCCACCCTACCACAATATGCTGAAAGCCCCGAAAGTTGTCTCACTAACAAGGCAACCCCCTATGTCCTGATCGGAAGCGGGAACAACTTTACTTTTATTGTGTTGATGGAGGCATAAAACACCCGCATTGAAATAGTTAACATTTTACAATCTGTTTTTTTAAATAGATCATATATATATTGTTATTATATTTTTTAAAAATTAATAAAAGAAAAAAAAAAAGCAAATATGACCCGCCGTCCTATTCCGTCATCAAAAATGTGTCTTATCCCCCTTTACTGTATATTGCTCTGATAAGTTAGTCACCTTCCAGCTCGTGCTGAATAGAGAAAACAGATGAGGAGACACTTTTAGTCGATGAACTCAACTGAAGGTAAAGCTGTACTACAGTGCTTACCTCATACAGATCTCTCTCAGTGTTGAAACTGCTCACGAAGCTAGGCACCATTTTTCCAAAGTTTCGATCTTCCACTGTGAATCTAAAACAAAACAAAACAAAAAAGCAATAGACAAGCGAAAACGAAACAAAAATAAATGGAATACTCTATTCATGCCAGAGAAGGCTAGTTTTATTTAAACACAGGTTTTCATACTGACGTGCAAAGAGAAAATTAATCCAGTCGCTAGCATTTTGTTGTTATTTTAAGGAGTTCAAGTAGCCACTGGCTGGAAAAAGAAAATGTCAACCTCCCACCCCAATTCCGCCATTCTTAAAATAAGTTAACTAACAAAGAAAATCCCTCTAACCAAAAACAAAATTAACCAAAAAAACCCAATATAACAATGTTTATTGTTGAGAAATGAATATCAGATTGTCTAGAAACGCATCTGAAGTTCAAGACAATAACGCCAGACCAGGAAGAAATATATTATACTACTTTACTTTTTTCTTCCGATTGTACCTGTGGGTGTTGCTGGGAGACACACGCGTCTGTCTGAAACATAGCAAGTGGCCTGTTGGAGGGACACCCCGTGAGCTCTGAGGATGTCTGCCACAGATTCACTTCAGCATTGCCTTGGTCTTCCTCTGACTCTTCAGCCAGAATATTTGATGTTATATTCCCTCAGAGCTGGTTGGTTTGGGGGCATCCGTGTGAGGTGTCCGAACCACTTTATCTTTTGTTTTTCAATGTGTGGTTGGACTCGTGTTGCTCCTACCGTGTCCCTTATGATTTCATGTTTTATTTTGTCTCTTCTTGTCTTGTCAGTCCTTCTTCTTAAACATTTCATTTCGCATGTGACCAGCTTCTTCTCTAGGGCTTTTGTTAAGGACCATGTCTGGCCATATATGAGTGTTGGTAACAAAATGGTGTTGATGAGCTTTGCTGTGATGCTCGTAGGCATATTGGGATGTTTCAGGAGAGCTGCGAGTTGATAGCTGACTGCATTGGCTTTCTGGCATCTAGTCTCTATTTCTCCATCTAATCTTCAATTTTCTTTGAAAATGCTGCTCAAGTATTTGAATTCGATTATTTGTTTTAGTTGGGATCCATTGATGTTGATATCCACTTTGTCTGGTCTCCTGCTAACTGTCATGACCTCGGTCTTACTAACACTGATCATCATGTCATGTTTCTCGCAGAAATAACTTAAAAATAAAAATGACTTGGTAGAACTCACCTCTCAACTAAGACCTCGTAGTGGGTCCTGATCCAATCCCACAGCAGCGGCCTTGCGATCTGATTGGACGACACATAGCCAATGAGAGTGAAGAAATCCTGCCTTCTGATGCCTTCTTCGTGTAAAGCTGCTTCCAGAAGTCTGATGTCACGAGGGAAATGGGAGACAAACCATGCATTTGTGAGTAAACGTGGACACTAGTTATTATAAAGGGTTGCTTCCCTTGATATATTGAGGCCAGTACTTTCTTACTCCCCCCCCCCCCCTTCTTCTTTTTACTGATTAGCGTCTTTTTAACCGCAAAATTCATTTTGCTGTATTATGCATAGCAGGATACTATTCCATTTCACGCCATTCTTTACAATACCCCAGCTTATCGTATCATCCAGTGCCCTATCAACTATCATATAACAATAATTGCATCACGATACCACATCACAGTGCACTATACTTTCTTACTCTCTCTCTCTCTCCCTCTCTTTCTCTCTCTCTCTCTCTCTCTTTCTCTCTCTCATTCACTCTCTCTCTCTCTTTCTCTCTCTCTCTCTCACACACTCACTCTCTCTCTCTCTCTGTCTTTCTTCCTCACTCACTCACTCACTCTCTCTCTCTATCTCTATATCTCTCTCTTTATCATATCTTTCTTCCTCCCTCACTCACTCACTCACTCATTCTCTTTCTCCGTCCCCCCCTCTCTCTCTCTCTCTCTCTCTCTCTCTCTCTCTGTGTGTGTGTGTGTGTGTGTGTGTGTGTGTGTGTGTGTGTGTGTGTGTACCGTCAAGAGCAGTCAACGAAACGCTTATATGTCCCTTTCCACTTCCTCCGGGTTTGTCACATCCAGCCCATGGGCGATACCTCATCTCCGATCGTACTCCAATAGCTGCGAGTAAGTCAATCCCTTTTTTTTCTTCCTTTTGGTCTCCATTGCCTTGTCTTATAGCGGATTCTTGCTTCTGGTGTTCTCAGATAGGCCCCAAATGTCTCCATTATTCTTCTCCTTCTTACGATCCATGAAGTACCTTACCGTTCGTTATACTTCTAACAAGGCATACCACACCATGCCACAAAATTATCGTTCCATCCGCACCCTACCATACCGCACAATAGCACATCCTAAAAATACCGCCCAACACAAGATATCATAACGTACAATAAGACATTCTAAATTTTCATTTAATAGATTTTTATAATGTAGGCGAGCTCTTAGCTCATTTGGTAAAATGTTGGACAAAGAAGCAGATGTCCATGGTTCAGATCTTCAAAGGGGCCTTTTAAACTTGTGTTGTTCTATGAAGATTTTGAGGCTGTCAATTAATTTGGCTGGGTTATATCGGAGACTTTCGGAGAACGACGTAATATTCCGAGGTACCGCCTCTTAAATTACCTTACAGTGTTGAAAGAGGCGTCCAAACTTTAAAATCTCGTTATTTTTATATTTTTTTGGTCAGATACAATATTGACGACATCACCAAAAATATTTTCCTAAAACAGAACGAAGTGGACTACCTTTCAATAAGGTAAGGTATGCGAGTACTGGCAAGGGCAAGAAGCAGATTCTCTTTCTCCTGGGCAACCGTCTCGTGAAGGTATTTGCTCCAAACGGCGTCCCAGTCAGACTCTGTGCTGTCGAGGGCCATACCGTATTGGTAGACGGAGCGCTCTATGTCAGGGTTGGGCCTGCATGGGGAAGGAAAGATGTAAGGGCTTCTGGGAATTGATTGACGTTGAGGGTTTGTCTTTTCTTTTGTTGTGTATGCGTGTGTGTGTGTGTGTGTGTGTGTGTGTGTGTGTGTGTGTGTGTGTGTGTGTGTGTAG